ATATCATTTTTGAGTGAATATTAGATAAAATATATTCTCTTCATCCCGAATTTGATTACAAATTGGGATTTACGAGGCAAAATCTCTCATCTTATGAAATCATCTTATTTCCAAATTTGTACATCGATAAAAAATAAAAATTACATATAAAAAACTACATCAAAAGTTCTACAAAACAAGAGGGAGAAGGTATATGGTACAACCGGATGTACCTAGCGATAGATACATCCGGGTAGTACTCATTTTGAAGTAGAGTAGTACTCATTCTCGCACAAACATAACTATTTATTTAGAAATAACGTGGCACTCATTCTAAAATGAATTTGTTTTGAGAGATTTAAAATTATGGTTTAATTAGTGATAAGCGAGGGTGATCGGCAACGGAGGTAGTTGGGGTGACAGTGGTAGCCGGTGACGGAGAATGATTAATGATTGAGAGAGATATCAAATCCTCTTATTGATATCTCCAAAATTCGGGAGATATTAAAACCATAGTTTTTAGAACCGAACCAGTGATCGAGCCGATCAAGGCACTAGTTCACTGGTTCACTGGTCAAACTAGTGGTTCGAGTGGTTGAACCAGTGGTTCAAACATCCTTAATAGATAAATAAATGAATATATATGTGTGTGTGTGTGTGTGTGTGTGTAATAGACAATGCGTGCAACTCTAGAGGTGGGGTGAATAGAGTTGTTGAGAATAATGTAGTACTCATTCTCAAATTACATAATGCTCATTCTAAAATAAAATAAAACTCATACCATAAATAACCTTTCTCTCTGCACTTCCACCCGACTAGGGTTTTCATCCGAGGCCTCTCCTCCCATCTATCGCCTTTCTTCTTCGATCAACCTCTGTCTGTAACGCAGCAGCAATCTTCGCTGCTCGATCTTCCTTCTCTATTCTTTTCAACAGATTTTAACCACCATCACTCATCATCATCCTTGCTCCTCCACCGTCTTCGTCTTCGCCGATCCATGTCTTTCGTCTCTGGTGGCCGGATCCGGCAAATAGGGGAGTGCGGCTTCAACTCCCGTAGCTTCCGTTCCATTAATTTTTTTTCTTCCTCAATTAGCCAGTTGCACCCAATTCTAGGTATAACCGGATGTATGATATAACAAGAGGTGACAATCATCTTTTATTTTCTAAAATAATTAATGAAAACACACAAATAAAAAAAAGTTATCGAGCGGAGGAAAAAAAGTTGTAATCATAATTGGGAGGGAGGGAGTAAAGTAAATAAAAAATACAATAATAAAAGAACAAATGTTTTAACGGTGAAAAAGAATTGTGACTGTTTAAAAAAGTTAGAATAACATTTTTTAAAATTTTTAAAATCAATGGCATTATAGATAGAAGGAAGGAAGGAAAAATTTACATAAATACTCCAAGAAATTTGTAATTTTACGTTAATACTCTGAAATTTAATAATTTACACCGCTGCTTTCAGAAATTGTTTAACTTTATACGAATGCTTGGCATTTTAAATAATGACTTGAAATTATTAAGTATGTCTTGGTAAGTATGGAGTGATAAAAATAAAAGAAAATAATGTTTCAGACAAAATAAAAAATTTTGAAGTACATATTTCATAATCAAATTTATATTCGTTAGAAAGATATTTAAAATATAAATCTAGACTATATCAACTTTAAAATTCTCTAACTTTTTTTTATCTAAAACACAATTTATAATTTATCTAATTCAAATATAAGCACTTTACTTTTTAATTATAACACATTTTTATTTCAAATTGATATGGAGGGGGTAATTATAACGCATTCAAGGTATTTTCTTTAATTTTTTTAAATTAATTACCAATTCATACTTAGTAATTATCCAATCACCATTTAAAATGCCACGTATTCAACTAATTAATTCGCAACCTGGAGTTTGGTGTAAAACTAAGTGATTTATGAGAGTAGTGGTGTTAATTAATTAATTTTGGAGTTTTATCGTAAAATCAAAAATATCTTGGAGTATTCGTGTGAATTTTTCCTAGAATTAAAAGAAATACTCCGTATCATATTTGAAAAAAAACTAGTTTAACTACTCTTTTTTAAAAAGTGCTTTTAAGTGACACAAATTTTCTTGTAAGAACTTGTAGGTTTCATGTTTTTTTAACAGTCCCGCTAGGTATACACGATACAGCTACCCCAAATGACCAGCATATACACCCCCCCACGTTTGATTCCCTCCTTTTTCCATTGCCCATTCCCTCGCATGATCTCTGTCGCCAACTACCCATATCTGAGGCAAACGATCATATCTGGACCGCCTCCTTCCACCGGCCCTCCATCGTTTGTCGCCCGCACAAGAAGTACACGACGTAGGATGTTCCTAACCGTGGCGCATCATCATCACCAGTTTCCATCACCATCATCGTCCCAACCATTATCGTCAATATTCATCGACAATGTGCAAGTGTGATATGTAGGTTTCCGTCACCCTCATCGTAAATCTTGAAAGCTTTTTTGGAGAAGTGTGTGCGTGATAATGTACGAAGAACCTTCGTTCAATCCTATGTTTGCAAGTAAGTTACTCCGTACAGTGAACCGTATATGAACCTCTGTCATTCTAATTTCAGTTTTGTAACTCACACAGAGACTATGATGTATATGAAGTTGTAACAAATGTGAGAATTGAAGTGTTTGTGATATTCTTAAATAATGGGAATTTTTGGAAAATAGTCCTTTAATGTAACTAAATGAAGATTTTTGGTAGTAGATGTCTTGAAACAACATTAAAAGCATGAAGAAGGGGAAAAATATTATTTTGTATGTCCTTCTGTTTTCACAGACAGTATGTTATTTAAATTAAAACATCATAGACATATAATGTATGTAATTGTTGGAATAGGGGAATTTTAGTGTTGTGAAAGGTGTGTTGTTTTTTGACAAAAAAAAGTTGTTATGTCCTTATGTTTTGTCAGAAAATTAGGTATTTTAGGTATTTAAAGTACTTCAACACAGACAAATAATGTACATAATATTTGGAACAGGGGAATTTTAGTGTTGTATGTGCTTAAGATTTGTACTTATGGTTTCACAGACACTGTGGTATTTCAAGAAGAGGAACAAAGACATATACTGTATGTGATAATTTAAACTGGGATTTTTAGTGTTGTGACAAAAATGTTGTTCTTTGATAGATTTAATAGATAATGATGACAGAGATCTTATACTTGACATGTCTTTCGTTGACATGTTGGATGGGTGCGAGGAAAATAACAACACAATGGGGCATTGTAAGCTTCATGTAAACATCACCCCCTCGTGGTAAATATCATTACATTGTTTTCTAGGTTTTGAGATGGACATGTTCGGAGAGCTGTATGTTGAAGAACACGAAAGTGATGGTTGTCCTGGAGAACCTGTCATCGTAAGATTCATTTGCAGAATTAACAATCCCCGAAGAGAAAGAGCCTTGGGATTTTTTATATTAAGGTGGGTAAAAATCGTATGTAATCTGATGTGCGAAATGTTTGTCCAGGTACAGCGGTGGTGAACATGTCGCCCGTGGGTAACTTGTCTACACTTGAAGAGAATGAAATTGATGGCATTGTTGGAAGAAGTGATGATCTCCCAGAACCTGTACGCATTGTCCCTGATGTTGGGATGGAGTTCTCAAATTATGATGCCATATATGAATTCTACCATACTTATGCAAAGGCAATGGGGTTTCTCATTAAAAAGAGAAGTTTAACGAGAGAATATCATGGAACAATACGTTCTATCACAATCTCATGTGGTAGAGAAGGGAATAGGGTGAGCCGATCTAAGAATTGTCTAAAACCACAAACCCGATCAAATTGTGGTTGGACATCCCGAATAAAGGCAACATGATATGATGAAGGTGTGTTCACTATTAAAGTGGCAAATTTGGAACATAATCATGACATTAGTCCATCAAATTCACGGATGTGGCGTTGTAACAGGAAGTTGCCAGACCACATAAAACAAAGGCTCAAGGTGAATGATACATCAGGAATCCCCCTTCACAAGAGCTTTAACTCAACCGTGGTTGAAGCCGAAGGGAACGATAAATCGTCCTTTATCGAAAAGGACAGTAGGAACTACGTTAAGGAAGTGGGAAGGGTCAAGCTATGTGCAGGGGATGTCATGGCTATACAAGCATACTTTTGTAAAATGCAAGCTAAAAGTGACGGGTGTTTTTAGCATGGACCTTGATGAGAAGTTAAAGTTGAAAGCCTATTTTGGGCAGATAAGAGGTCTCGTCTTGCATACAAGTACTACACAGACGTTGTGACATTTGATACGACATACCTCACAAACAAGTACGATATGCCGTTTGCACCGTTTGTGGGTGTTAAGCACCATGGGCAATCAATACTTCTAGGTTGTGTCTTAGTTTGTTGCGAAGAGACATAATCTTTAGTGTGGTTATTTCAAACATGGCTCAAGTGCATGGATGGAATCCCACCACGTGGTATCATAACCAACCAAGACAGGTCGATGAAAAGTGCAATTGAAAAAAGCACCACATAAGTTTAACGGGTATGAGGATAAGGACAAAATACTTTGGACTTTGAATAATATTATTTATGATTTGTTCGAAACACAGAAATTTGATCAAGCTTGGAAAGATATGATTGCAAAATACGGACTAGAACTTAACTCCTGGCTCGCGGGGTTATTTCTAGAAAAGGAACGTTGGGAACCTTGCTATTGCCGTTCATCATCCTGGGTGGGTGTGTTCCTCATACTGAAAATTAATTTTTTACACATACGTATTATGTATATGATATGCATATCATATACAGTAAGTGGCTTTGTTTGATGGATACGTCCACTCCAAAACAACACTTACACAATTTGTTCACCAGTACGAGCGTGCATTGAGGAAGAGAGTTGAGGACGAATTCCGAGCAGATACACAATGTTTTGGAAAAGTATGCATTGCGCGACAACATTCCCCATGGAGAATCAAGTGCAAGAAGTTTATACTTCAGCAAAGTTCATAGAATTTCGAACGGAATTAACAAGTAAGATGTCTTCTTACCCAATCCAATTATCCTTACTTTATCCTAAATTCTATCAATATGGTACAACATTGTCTCTAAGAACCAGTTTGGTTTCATGTCTGGCAGATCGACTATAGAGGCCATTCACCTCGTGAGGAGATTAATGGAAGAGTATAGGGCTACGAAGAAGGACCTTCATATGGTGTTTATTGATCTTGAGAAGGCGTACGATAGGGTGCCAAGGGAGGTCTTATGGAGGTGCCTTGAGATGAGAGTTGTTCCCATCGCGTACACTCGCGCGATCAAGGATATGTACGATGGGGCTATGACTAGGGTAAGGACCACCAGGGGCGACTTTAAGTCATTCTCATTAGGGATGCGGTTGCACCAGGGGTCTGCCCTTAGCCTTTTTTTGTTCGCCTTGGTGATGGACGTCCTAACTCAAGGTGTTCAAGAAGGGGTCCCATGGTTTTCGCGGATGATATTGTGCTTATCGACGACGCACGTGAGGGACTAAACGATAAGTTGGAACTATGGCGCCTGGCCCTTGAGACTAAAGGATCCAGAATAAGTAGGAACAAGACTGAATACGTGGAATGTCGTTTCAGCGGCCGGGAAACAGAATCAGAAGTGGATGTTAGGATTGACTCTCACCTAGTACCTAAGGTAGACAGGTTTCGATATCTTGGCTCAGTAATTCAGGCTGATGGGGAGTTAGACGGGGATGTTGGACATCGTGTTGGAGTGGCTTGGGCCAAATGGCGGTTGGCTTCAGGGGTGTTGTGTGATCCGAAGATTTCGCCCACGATGAAACACTACAAGAATTTGTCTGGTCTGCAACGGAAATCTGCTACGGACCTATTTCCGTAGTGGATCTGCAACGAATCTGCGACGGACGAATTATTTATGAAAAATGAAAGTAATCTGTGACGGAATTTCATATTCCGTCGCAGATCTGCAACGGAAAATAGAGTACTGTCGCAAATCTGGAGACGACCAAGTTGGTCAAATTTTTCACAAAATATCTGCGACAGTTTAATTATTCCGTCGCAGATCTACAACGGAATCTGCTACGGGCAATGTTCCGTCGCGGATTTTTAATAAAAATAGGGATCTAAGTCTCACAACTCAAAATCGAAATCAGTTCACTCGCCATCCCTTAACCCCCGTCAGCCATCCAGCAGCGCCTTCCCTCGCTGTCCTCCTCGTCGCGCTGCGCCAGCGCTCACCGCCGCCGCTAGTGTTAGCCCACGCCACGCCAAATCCCCCTACCGTCAGCCGTCCAGCCGTGCCAGCCCTCGACACCCCCGACCGTCAGCCGTCCACGCTACGCCAGATCCCCCGACCGTTAGCCGCCGCCGCCCTCGACCGAGTTCCCTCGCCACCACTCGCCGCCGCCGCCACTCAACCGCTAGTCTTCCCCGCTGGTCCTCTTTACCGTGAATTTCAAGATAAGGTATTTTTGTTTACTATTATATAATTTATTATTATTGTAATTTTTTTTGAAATTGAATTTGTTTGTCTGAAATTGAGTGCATTTTTGGTGAAATTTAGTTGAGATTGTGTGAATATGAGTTGAAATTGACATGAAATTGGGTAAAAGTTGTATTAGTTTTTCGTGAAATTGATAGCATTTAAGTTGTAATTTAAGTTGAAATTGTGTTTGTTAATTTAACATTTAATGAGAATTTAGGTAAAATTTACTTCAAAATTTAGGTTTGTTTTAATGCTGATTTTGTGTCCTTTGAAGTGCTTATTTGCTTGAATATGAACTCTAATCTCAATATAAAGCACATGGGCTGATTCTTGAAGCATAACATGAAGTTCATATGTTGATTTTAATGCATTATGTATGTAATTTGCAAAAAAACCTGATCTGATTTGCATTCTTTTTAAAAAATCAGCAACTTTTTTCTTGATTTATAATCTTATTTTTGTATTCCTAGTCTCATTAGCAACTTTTTGATGCATTATGTTTTGAATATATGGAATTTTTGATGTATTTTTTGTTTACTTATTTCTTCTAATTTTGTATTTTTTCTCTTGTACTTGTTGATAGGTGGAAGCAAAAAACTTGTGTTCAGGCTCAATTCTTCGAACTGTGCAAGGAGGCTAGATAGAAAAGGTTGCAAGTCACCAACCAAGAAATACGTTATTCGCTAGTCGTGAGCCGTGATAATCTAACCTCGAGCTTGTCACTGACGATTCAAGAGGAGAAAAAGAAGCTATATGGTGGTATCCTTCCTCGATGAGGCGATGATGATGGAACAGGAGGTGCAGGACAGCTCGAGATTTGTTGAGACCTTTACGACCTTAGCTTCCTCCATTTTAAGCGCTTGACACTAACACTTTAATACTCATTATTAGAATATAATGAATTATGTTACATTTGCACATGAAGTTTTCATTAATCTAGCTTTGAATTATCAATGTGTGTGAAAATTGAATGTGTTTTGCCTCCAATTTTAGTATCTAATGCCTAAAACCAGAAAAATTTAGGTTGATCATCCAAATATTTGCGACAGAACCATCTGTTGCTGTTTTTGTCACAGATCTGCGACAGAGGTGTCCGTTGCTAATTCCGTCGTAGATCTGCAACGGTTCTTAATTTCTGTCACAGATTACATCCGATGAAAAAAGGGAAATTCCGTTGCAGGTCCGTCGCAGATCGGCCACGGAATTTAAATTCCGTCGCAGATTTTAAATCTGCCACAACTTTTTTGCGACGGAAAGATTTCGTAGCAGATCCGTTGCAGAATGGAAATCTGCCACGGAATTTCAAAATCTGCCACGAAATTTTTCCGTTGCAGATCGGCAGTTTTCTTGTAGTGAAAGGTAAGTTCTACCGATCCGTAGTCAGACCTGTTATGTTATATGGGGCAGAGTGTTGGGCGGTTAAGAAGACGCATGTGCGTCGTCTGCATGCGGCTGAGATGCGGATGTTACGATGGATGAGTGGGAAGACAAGGTGGGATAGGATTTCGAACGAAGTTATCCGACGTCAGGTTGGCATGGCGCCGGTGGAAGATAAGTTGCAGGAAGCAAGGTTGAGATGGTTTGGTCATGTGAGACGGCGGGATGTTGACGCCCCTGTACGGAGATGCGAGAGGATTACGGTTATCGGGGGAAGTAGGGGAAGGGGTAGACCTAGGAAGAATTGGAAGGAGGTGATTAGGCAGGATTTAGGACTTCTCACCTTGACTGAGGATATGACTTTAGATAGGAACCTTTGGAGAACTAGGATTAGAGTAGCTGGATAGGAGCTCGGTGATGCAGAGGTTTTTTGTACTGTGTTGTGATTGGAATCTTTTGTTATTGTTTGCAGGACTTTCATTTCATTGTACTTGGTGCTTTATCCGTGTTATACTGTGTTCCCTACCATATTTTTTGTGCAGGTTGAGTCGGGGGTTTCTTTAAAACAGCATCCCTACTTTCGAGTAGGGGCAAGGTCTGCGTACACACACCCTCCCCAGACCCTACTGTAGTAGGATTCAACTGGATTGTTATTGTTATTGTTATGGTACAACATTGGAAAACTATTTCTCGGGTTGCCTCAAAATAATTTTTAGTACAAAATTTAATGTTGTTTTAATGTTCTGGCCAAAAAAAGTTAATAACATAGTACTCCCTAATGGGTACATTCCTTAAATGCTGTCAACAAATCTCCGAGAGTCGACAGGCACTGAGCAAGGAAGGGAGCCCCAGATGGACTGCAATTGTGTTCACAGAATTTATGGGTAAACCACAACGACGACGTCGTTTTGGTCGGCAGCGACTTCGTCTCCCACCACTCAAGCTCTATATATCGATCTCCCCTTTCAAGTCTCAACCCGCCATCAATTTATCCTCTTCTATCCACGTTGCCGAACCCTCCGCCGGCGGGACGGCGTAATCAAAGCTCTTAGTGGCCGCCTAAGTTTAAGGAAATGCCGGCAAACGTTTGACTCACAATCACGCAATGCCGGCTCCAATTTGGTAATAATTTATTTTGATTTTAATTTGAATTTAGTTGAGGAGCATGCTCCATGTACCCCAAACTTCGTATCTCATTTTTACACCAAAAGTATCCACCAACATTTTGATGGTTCACACAGACATAAAGTGTTGGTGTGTTGACAAAAATTTACACTAACACAAAATGTTGGTTCGTTAACAAAAATTAATATTACACCAATATAAAATGTTGGTGCATCCGGCGGTGTACAAAATGGGGTACAAATAGCAAAATTATAGCATTATCCTTTAGTTGATTACTTATTTTGTAAATATCTTGCGCAAATCATATACTCCCTCCGTTTTTAAAAACTCTTATTCTTTCATTTTTTTACTTCCAACAAAACACTTTCACTTTCTTTTAAAAACTCACTTTTACCCTTACTTTTTCATATCCTACATATCACATAATACTTTTTCTTTAATACTCAATCCATCACATCTTACTTTTACCCATCACATTAAGGGCAAAATTGGAAGTCAACTACAATTTAACACTTCCTTATTTTTACACAAAGTCAAAATAGGAACACTTTTAAAAAACGGAGGGAGTACAAAGTAAGGAGTATATTCGTAAATAATTAGACACCCCCAATCGGGTCAATCAGTTCAGTTCGGGTCTCTTTCGTATATATGTTATAATCGGTTCGGTTCATTTCAGTTTTGGGTTTAAATGGTTTGATTTTTTTCGGTTTCAATTTGGGTTTCGCTTTGGTTAGATATCGATTTCGGATATATATATATATATATAGTTTATATCGGTTCACGTTTATACCGATTTAAGTTTATATTGGTTCGACTTTATGTCGGTTTCAAATGAAATCCCTCGGTATTAGAGTTCTAATGTGTGCCTTCTGTGTAACATATGTTCCTATTTGTAAAGGAGGCATATACATACAAGTGTCACCAATAATAGACTAGTATATCTATCAATGTGTGTTATAATGTCATTAAGACTCATTACAAATTATATAGAGTATATATACTCTATATAAAAATAGACCACCTTTTTAGTTTAAGTGATAAAATAGGGAGTAAAAGATTTTTACATGAAACCCGTCGTACCTATAATTTAAATATACTTTTCTTAGAAAGACATCAGCTAATTAACTATTAGGTCTGGCTGGATTTGAGTTTAATTTGTTCTGAACTTGATCAATATCGGTTCTAATGGATTTTAGGTCTAATCGGTTTCGGTTCTAATCGGTTTCTGTTCCAATTGGTTTTAGGTCTAATCAGTTTCGGGTTTAATCGGTTTCAAGTATAACCGGTTTAGATTTGATCAGATTCGGATTTGAATGGGGTCTGAATACATTAGGTTTCGTTTCGGTTCAGATCATTTTCGGTGTTCGGGTATAATTCACAATTTTCAGGCCATTTCGGATTCGATTCAGAATTATTCGGTTCGATTATCGGGTTCGGGTATAATTCACAGTTTTCAGGCCATTTGTCAGGTCTATTCATAATACCAAAATAGAATTTGATTTAATTGATTTGGTAATACTTCCTTCGTCCCGTAAAATTTTTTAACTTTCACATCTTGCTTGTTCTATAAAACATTTCAATTTTGGGCTAAATTGATATAACTATCTTTACTTTTCTTCAATCTAACCGAACATACGTCAAGTATATTCTACGCTCTAACTATTTTCATATTTCTTGAGTCCTACTCGTTTCAATTGTCGTTTTCATCTTGGTCAAACTTTACAGTTTTTGCTTGCAAAAGTCAAAACAACAAATGTTTTGCGAGATAGATGAAGTATGTTTTTACTACACAATTAGAAAATGAAAGGCAACACATTGACACTTCGTATTTATTTAATCGTTTTAGATAATTTAGATGAGAGTGTCTAAAATGACACCAGTTACTTATACACCAGTTCGTTTGGGGTACCTACGGTTCTCCGTTTGTAAAAACGACGGTTTCTGCCCCCCTAACCCTCCCCCTAAACCCCCCACCCTAGCCCCCACACCCCAGCCCCCCCTCCCGCCCCTGGCAGTACACTGCCTGGCAAATTTCAAACCCAAGAAAGAAAGACGACACCGTTTTAAAAATGCATCTTCCAAAAAAAACTTATCCCATGGCAAGTTTCAAACCCAAGACCGCCTACCCAAATGTAAAACATGGAGTTTTCCACTCCTTCGGTGTATACACATTGAATTAGGGAGCGTTTTGTAGAATATATACTAAATGTATGTATACACTAAAAATTTATGTATGTATATATATACACACACACACATATACTAAAAAAATTTAAAATTTCTGTGGGATCACTTGACCCTGTGTGACCCAACGTGGGTCCGCTCCTGAATAAGAGCCATAAGTATTTAAAACTAAAATAAGAGTTTACACTGTCATTGTTATACTGCTATATACACCACATTGTCATATTGTAACTACAACATTATCGCTGCCACACTGTCATCTGTCATCGCCGCCCACCAGAGTGTCATCGCGGACCGCTAACAATTAACTAATCACGCTAATATATTACACTGTCATCACTTTTCCATCACACTGCCAACGCGTACTCTTACACCACATTGCCATTATACTCCTATTTTGGTCTTAAAAGACTTAGGACTCCTTTTTTTAATATTTTCATAGTTTTTTATTCCTATTTTAATTAATTTAGTTTTAAAATAAATATTTTTTAAAACTGAAAAAATTAATAAAAAACTGAATCTTGAACCGCATTAAACCGAACGTGAATAATGGTTTATATTTTAAATGTATAAAACCGAACTGAATTGCAAATTCATCTTCCGTTTCATTTTAAGTTTTGGGTAACAAGAAACCGATAAAGTCGAACCCACGTACTCCTACTCAAAAGAATTGAATCACATAAGAAACTCACCAAGTTTCCAAGTAAGAGTTTGACTCTCTGAAAGATTCTATATCAAACTCTATTTTGGTATTAAAAATTAAGAATAATAGATGTATTAGAAAATAAATCATTAGTATTTATTACCTTTCTTCTAACATTACTTTATTATTATATTTGAACTATAATTATTCTCCTACTTAGAATAAAATTACTCTTGTAATCCCTATATATAGGGATGTATCCTTCATTATTAAATAAGACCAATTATTATCAAATTATATCATGGTATCGGAGTTAATGTTCTAAAAAACCTAGCCTTTTCTTTTCTGACCGAGCACATAATCGGTCTCTATTCACGACAATCAACCGTCCGATGGGATATGGCATGACATCACCAGCCGATCTTGTTGAGCGAGCCTAACAGTCGCCGTCCATTGTCACTCTCTTTTCTCCAAAAAAACTATTATCTCTCTCTCTTCTAAAAAAATCGTGTGCATGATTGAAGAACGGGAAAGTTTCATTTGTCTGTTGTTTTTTTCAAGAGATCAAGAGCATGGAAAGCAATAGAGAAGTGGAGAACGACTCAAGAGGAGAAAAAGAAATTCCTTGCCATCACTCTCATCGGGAAAAACTCAACAAACATAACTCAAGCTCGTTCGAAAAGATATTAGGAATAATAGATGTATTAGAAAATAAAATATTAGCATTTATTACCTTGTTTATTACATTACTTCCTTATCATATTGTTACTATAATTATTGTCCTACATAGATTTGAATTCTCCCTTATAATCCCAATAAATAGGAATATATCTTTCATTATTTAATATTATCAAATTGTATCATTAAGGTTAGGAGCATTTTTGAAAAATTGTAATGATATTTAATTTAGTTTTTTATTACAATTCACAATTTATTTTTTGGTACTACAAAATTTGTATTGCAGAAGTAGGATTGGTGTGGTGACAATAGACCAAATAGTACGTACTGGTGTTCCATCTAGTCGGTACGGGAAAGCAATGGGGTGTTTTTTTCCTCCAAGATTTTCTGTTCGGATGAGCAAGCCGGAGGTGGTGGCGCCGAAGACTGAGACCCCGCGGGAGAAGAAGCCACTGTCGGACATCGACGACCAGGCCAGCCTCCGGTACCAATTGCCAATGCTCTGGTTTTATGAGGCCAAGCCGTCCATGCAGGGCGTGGACGACCCCGCCACCCTCATGAAGGATGGCCTGGCCAAGGCTCTAGTGTTCTACTACCCTTTGGCAGGCCGCCTCTTCGAGGAGCCCAACAAGAAGTTGATTGTGGACTGCAATGGGGAAGGTGTGCTCTTTGTGCGAGCGGAAGCTGATGTAGCCTTGGCTAAGCTCGGCCGCTTCATACAGTCGCCGTGCCCGTATCTTAAGAAGCTTCTGTATCATGTGCCGGGCTCTGGCAAAATCACTGGCACCCCTCTTCTGCTTGTTCAGGTATAATGTACTCCCTCCGTCCCCATATCTTTCTTCCCAGAGCACTATTCCAACATCAACAACAACAACATTACCCTAGTGCCTCAATGGCTCCCGCCTATTGTTAGATGTACGCAGACTGATCCGTATGTGTACAACATAGAGCGATTGTTCCAACTTCACGGGAACTTTATTGAACTTTTGATATATAGTTTTTAAGTATGTAAATTTTATTTTATTCTATACCTATATTTAAATAAAATAGATTGAAAAAACTTGGATTGAGATTTTTTTTTATTTGGCCCGAGGGGAAGATATTAAAGATGTGGCCGGGACGCGGCGGGAGTAAAACGATGTGGGATTTTTTTATTTTTCTCAGGTAACACAATTCACTTGCGGCGGATTTGCACTTGGTGTCCGGTTGAACCACACCATGGTGGACGGCTACGGCATCGTCCTCTTCTTAAACGCCGTTTGTGAGTTGGCGAACGGGGCTTCGGTGCCCTCTATTCTCCCTGTTTGGGAGAGAGAGCTCCTCCTGACAGCTGCAGGGCCAAACAGAACTGGCGCAAGCTGCAGTAGACTCTCTGGCAACCTCCAGGGCTTGTACGGGTCGGTCGCGCGTCGCAGGCGCTTCTTCAAGCCGCTCGACATGGAGGCGTGGGGCAGCGTGATTCTCAACTTTGATAAGCTTGCAGCGATGCCACGCTTCTTCTTCTTCCCAGGAAGACTTAGGCCACTCGTGCTCCAACGCTCCTTCATCCTCGACTCGAAGGAGATCCAGGCTCTGAAGAATAAGGTTTTGATGCAAGGCTACGGCCAGTGCACGACGTTCGAGGTTGTTGCTGCCTGTCTATGGAAATGCCGCACTGTGGCATTGCAATCCGACCCGTCCTTGACGGTTCGGGTTACGTTCCCCATGGACATTCGTGGAAGATTCTCCACGACGGGGTTGTCGCTCCCCGGGGGCTACTACGGGAATGCCATTGTGATGCTCTCCGCCTCCACCACTGCAAAGAAGTTAAGCGAGAGCCCCATCGGTTACGCCATCGAGCTGATCAGAGAGGCAAAGGGCAAACTGAGCTCCGACTACGTGAACTCAGTGATGGATCTCATGGCGTGCAACGGGCGGCCGAGGATGTCTGTGATTGGGGGGAACATATTGGTTTCGGACATTTCAAGAATCGGTCTCGAAAAACTCGACTTTGGTTGGGGAGATGCGATATTCGCCGGCGTCTCCACCGCCGCCTATGGAGCCACCTTCCTAGAGCGCTTAGAGAGTGCTACCGGCGGTTCGGAGAGGAGCATTTTGGTGCCCATTGCCTTGCCTCACATTTCTATGATGATTTTCAAACGCGAGTGGAAGAAGATAAAAGCTTAAACACGGGTTTAAATTAAAAAATATTTGCACTAAATAGCAATAAAACATAAGTCATTTTTCTACATAGCACTTAAACTATTTTATTCTCTAGATAGCAATTAATAATGTCCAGGAGGAGCTGAGGAATAGTTTCGAGTAATGGCAAACATTTACTTGAATAAAGACTAATGGATAATATTAGGAAGTATAATTAAATTAGGATACTTCTTTCCTTTCCTACTAGGATTATTCTTTCCTTTACTACTTGTACTTTGATTACTCTTGTATTCCCTATATATAGGGTCATATCTCTCAATATTCAATAAGACAAGTTATTATCAAATTGTATCATGGTATCGGAGCTAAGGCTCTCAAAAACCTAGCCTCTCTTTTTTCCGACCGCCGCCCACCATGGCAGCCCTGTCGGATCCTTTGGCGTCCTTACCCTCCGGAGTAAAACTTTTGCTTCGGAGTCTCCACAACTTAATCCCAGAAAAACTCACCGAAACAAATTATCCGGCATGGTCTCTCAATGTCCAGACAGCTCTTTCAGCTAATCTCCTCCTTGGATGGATTGATGGTCATGAAGCAGCCTCGGCGCCAACTATCTCCAAAAACGATAAAACCGTCCCTAATCCAGAGTATACCTCCTGGACCATCGTTGACACACAGATCCGCGCCTGCCTCCTAGCGGTCATCAGCCCATCCGTTCACAAACATGCTCGCGGCTTCGCCACATCTGCTGCCCTCTAGGATGCTTTGGCCGCACGGTACAACTCCGTGTCCACCGCTCATGTTTATCAGCTTCGGGACAAACTCCACACTCTTCGTAAAGGTACCAAAACTATGACACAATACCTTGATGATGTGGCAACTATTCTCTCGGATCTCGATGCCTTGAAAGAAGAGATCCCTGAACGTGATGTGGTGAATGCTGTTATTCGTGGTCTTCCCACCGAATACTCATCCTTTAAG